GTTTAAACTCCAAATTTCATTATAGATTCAATTTAGTATGTACTTTGACTAATATGAAAAATATGAAAAAAATAAACGAGCTCATTTGTGAACATAAACGAACTGAACACGCCTATGTTCATGTTCGTTCATTTATTAAATGAACATTAAATTTTTGTCTATACACGTTTATTTAGCTTTATAAACCAACGTTATACGAACGATTAACTAACAATTCACTTAACATTCTGTTTATTTACATCCCTACACATATCAAACTTATATCCAATATATATATTATTTCACTTATTATTAGTGTTGTTGAATTAATTTATTAGTCAATTGATGCATACTTTGAAAATGTAGGAGATCACGAAAAAAATACTAATAAAAAAACTTTAATGTTCTAGGTATTAAGTATTTAAGTCGGACCCTTCTTTGTTGTTTCTCAACTCAATAATTTGGAATATATTTCTAATATGGTTTTAGTATAATTAGTTTTACTCTCATACATAACGATGTGTATTAAATATCAAATAAATTCTAAATTTTTTTGGCTGCGTAGTCAACCTGAAATATGCGAGGTTGATTGAAATGCCACATGCCTTGGCCGGCGCCGCCGGGCCTCAAATTATCCAATCCATATATGTACATTTCCAAGCTTTTGATATTTGAAGGGACCGGAGCACTCAAACCTTAATGATTTCGATTTTTGACAATCCATGCTTGACGATGTCGTATCAAGTAAAAAGTAGAATTTGTTTCATTATAGTAGTAATAAAACACAACTGAATTATCATGGTGATGGGGTATCATTTTAAATCATTTTTAACAGTCATGTATCGACCGACATTAATTTTAGGACACTTTATGTACGAGTTTAAAATACAATTTATTAATATAATGTTAAAAAAAAGTAAAAACAGATTTTTTTTTGAAAGAGGTTGATTTTGTATTTAAGAATCGAGTCAAATACAAAATCAGACACAAACATGGACCTCATTAAAAAACCTCCCTAAACCTAAGTGGAGGTGTCCATGTTTGTATCATAGAATACATACCACAACTGTTAAACTCAAACACTACACAATACGTTGAAAATACAATCCACCCAAAACCAAGGAAAAACAACATCACAAACCCTTCCTTAGAAAACATCAGCAGACCTTGACTCCTCATTCCAAACACTCAACTACAATAACAGCAGGCACAGGCATACCAGCTCCCCAGATGACGTAGTACCAAACAAAACAGAATACAACAGACACTACATTCCACCAACACAGGAGCAGACACTAGGAACGACTACAATATTCCCTAATGATATAAGCACCACTCAGAATGTGTCCAGTAATTAAAACAACCACCCATCATAGAAGGCAACCAGGCCCCTATCGAAACAGAACCGTGAACTCTTAGCTAGCCCAACAATTGCAGCAACCGTCTCAAAACAAAAAGCTGTATATGCACAACGCCTAGAACAGATCAACACGAAACAGTGAACTCCAAGGAGACACACAAAGTAAAGCATATCCCCATAAAACTCCATTAAACATTATTTGTATCACAACAGCTAGAAGAGAGAAGAAAAAAATCCCCGTAATACCTATGCTTATCACCCATCACAATGAAACAGACAGACAGTGAAATGTATGCAAATAACACCTTACCAAACCAGTTACAAAGAAGACAGCCTGCAAAATTACAGAACTCGATGTAGAGTTTCCGCGGCAGTCTGCTTTAGACCCCATCACGAATAAACTACACACCAACAATCTGAACTTGAACGCTAAAAAATAAACAACTGCCAACATTCCATACGAACAACAGAATAGATTCCTAAAAAAAAGAGAACCGAGTGTCCAACCAATAACGTTGCGCCAGAAAGCAAAATATACCAAGGCCTATGCCTAAATCTGATATTTGCATAGCGATTTATTATTGAACAAACCATCATTTCAGTTTCGTTATCAACAAACGCCGCAGACTATAGCTTCTGGATTCTGAATGAAATCATTTACCGATGGAATCAACACCGACCATAGATAATTCGCCCAGACCCCTATCTGGAGCATGGCTTTGTAAAAAATCTGATCTGCCGAAAAAGAAATTCCATTGAATCTGTTTTTGTTTCTGCACATCCAGATTACCCAAATCAATCCAAAAAAACCAATTTGCCATATAGCCCGTACTCTCCTACTTATTCTTTGAGAAAACCAGATCTCTAATAGTAGTTTAACAATCTTCGGAAGCACCAGATTAACTTTCCACAAGCTGCACCAACGTTGCCAAACTTTCCATATTACATAACAATGACACAGAACATGATTAATATCCTCCAACTCACTTTTACAAAACAGACAACCAGACTGGTCATTACAATTGACCCCTCTCTTTATCAACTCTACCATGACAGGCAGTCTCTGATGCACTGCTTTCCACACAAAAGCGGTTACCTTTGGCGGAGCATCTTTAGACCACTTTAATACAAAAAAACTTTATGATTGAAAATATTGTCAAAAACTTAATTTTTTAAGATGGATAGAGTAATATTTTAAATTAAATTAAAAATATTATTTTTCTTTATATCATCTCTTGTTATAATAAAAATATTATAAATATGTATAACTTTTTCGATTATAAACTCTAAAATCATGTTAATAAAACGTTTTAAGTTTCAACATAAAATATTATAATCTTTTAAATTAAACATAATAATATTTTAAATTTAAAACCGTTCTAAATTAATTATTGCATAGGAGAACCATCCTTAATTATCTGAAAAAGAATATAAAAGAGATTGTTCAATTTCAGGCTAAGAAAATCAGCATTGTGTTTGATTAACACATATTCACATTTTGCCTTACATGTCGGCAAGAATTGATCGATGATCCTACAAAATATGAAACACTGTTGATTGCTTAGATCTGGATGCAGTGCTCGAACATTGTACTCGATACCATGACCAAGACCAAATCTATATGTTGAACGAACCTACTGAGTTTGGTCTGAATATTTATATTTCATGAATACTGCAGATGTCGGTGCAAGAGTTTGGTCTCCTTGTTTCCAGTGCTGGGCCTTCAGCTAGTAGTAATAGTAGTATGGTTTGCCTTAAGAACTTGACCCTGTTTTGATTGTTTCTTAAAAATTAAAAACCCAAACATGAAAGAGAAAAAAATTTGTACATAATTGTTTCCTCCAAAAGTATTTTCAATAAAGAATTAAGGTTTAAGGTTTATTTTTGTCATCGTAGTAGATATAATTTATCATTTTCGCTTATATGATTTTTTTAAATCAATTTAACCTTTGAAATTGTTTATGGATATTATCCTAGCCTTTGAAGTCTGTTAATCGTTTTGACGACAAGAATCGTGAGTCCTCTAAGTATGCGGATTAAGGGATTAGATTAAAATACTTACTAAACACAACGGTTACAAAACATTGTCAAAATTTTATTATTTATTTCAACAAGATTAAGGGATTATGTCAAAATTTTGGGGATTTTTCCTAACAGTTGTATTTAGTAAAGATTTTAAATAATTTATTATTTATTTTTAATAAATGACACGTCATCATCAAGCCACGTCAATAATATTGGTTGATATGAAAATTATTGAAGTCGACAAACGCAAAAGACTAATCGTTCTGTTAGTCAAAACAAACATCAAAGGTTTAGACGATGCCCCTAAACAACTTTGAATGCAAAATTGATAAAAAAAATAATAAAGATAAAAATTATAAATTAAGTCCACTATAAAGATAAAAATATTTTATATGTTCTATGCATTCGTATGTTGAATTTTCATAATCCCACATGGAATAGGTGTCGATGACACCTGATGACCATGACCCCGATTAGTGTGATTAAAAAATTAAACAGCGTTATCATGTCCAGATCACCGATGAAGCAAAAGGCAAAAGCGAAGTATAGAATTGGACGATCGGTTACTTCTTAGTTGTCATCAATCAACTAAAGATAATCTACTATTTTCACCACACACCAGCTCATCCCTGCTAATATTGGCCCTATCTTGCTATTACAAGATTTAAAGTGGGATGCTTAAACTATCTTTAAAGCAAACCCTCCCTCCCTGGTAAACCGATGGTACCTAGGAATGTTCAGGTTCTTCTCCAAATTTACATTGTCATTGGCCACCAAACCCGCAAATGTAATAGAAGAAGCCAAGATTTGTATCAGTCTTGTTTACAACTCTTTAATTTTAAAAAAAATTAATTTCTTACATTATCACATCTTAAAGGAAAAGAGAAGTGTAGTTTCAGCTTTCAATAACATCAAAACTAATCAAGCTTGGCTTGAAAGTATACCTAGAAGACCACCAACAAGAATGGATATATAGCAATTTTGCCTGTTTGATTGGGACAAGCGACAACCAAAAATGTAATTGCTCTATTCCAGGTATGTTTGCAGATTTCTCCATGTAATTTTCTGAAGAATCAATGAAAACAATTCAACTTCATGACAACCTTGAGAAATTTGCAGTGCCAAAATATCTCAATCTCATCACCTAACTTCCCACAAAAAAGAGAAAGCAACACAAATTCAGTAACAATTACACAGTCTAGTTATCCAAGGTCTGGCCTTCATTTAGTCCCCATAGCAGATGCATTGATGCAACTAAACCAATAGGTTCTGGATCACACAAACATAAGCATTTTGCTAACGATACAAGAAGCATTATTCTTATAGGGAAGAAAAAAGCAAGGTACAAAATAAATAAATCTGAATCAAAATGTTCATCGAATCCACTATATCCATTCCATGATTTTTAATATCGGTACAGCGTCCAAATAAGTTAGCGAAAAGATCTAAACAACACTTTTGAGGAAAAAGTTGGAAAAAAATTCTTCCATATAGAATAACGATCCGAGTTCACAGAAACTAGACACAAACCAGGGAAAGAATCAACAGAACAAACAGCAACAAAACTTAAACAAGCAAAAATGGCAAATAAAAGAACTATCCATTACAGAAGATCTCAGCAAGGACCCGTATCTGCAATATTCGTAATCCCTTTCTCGGCTCATCGGATGATCTCAGTAAGAACTCACTAAAAATGAATTGAATTGCCAATGTAACCCAAAAACTTGGCGGATGTTTCATGAAGAAGAAGAGCAAGTCTCGTACTTGCCATTGGCTTTCAACAGCTGCCTTCTCTTCAAAACCAAGAACCCAGCAACACCAAACTGCAAGATGATAGCAATGCCGATGAACAAAAGCCCAAGCTTTTGCCCCGTATTGACCTTGTGATTATGTGAATGTTGCGGAGGCCGCCGCCACCTATGATGATTGGTTCGATTATGGTGGTGTTCTGCCGGAGGCGGAGATGGCCGAGAAGGAACTGGCGGAGGCGATGATGAAGGTGGTGGTGGTGGCGGAGAGGGCGACGGAGGAGGAGGAACTGGCGGTGGCGGTGGTGTAGGAGGAGGTGGTGGCGGCGGACTTATGTTAGATGATTGTGATTCAACAAAATATGGAAAAACTGTAAAGAGAAGGCCGAAACTAAACAGAAGTGATGGTGATAATGGCGGTTCCATAATAACAAAAAAGCTAAGCAAGCACGCGGAATCTTTGGGGGGATTAAAATCAAGGATTTTGCTGCATTCTAGCTTCTGGGTATGACCCCAATTCTTGCCTTTGCTTGTTAGACTTACAACATTAGCTGGAGGGTATCTTCCAAATACTTTGACGTATTCAACTTCCGCTGCTCCAATTCAAAATCTTGAGTTTTTTTTTGGTCAAGAATTTAGGCTTACAGAAACCTAGGGTTGGACCTACGAAACTGATGTTTTATGAATATATTTGTGATTCCTTCCCCCTGTTTCGAAGAGATCTATGAAATGAATAAAAAAGTGAGTGTTTTCTCAAAGTTTGTCTTTTTCTTTTGGGGAGACTCGTAGGAAAAGATGAGCGGAAGATTCGGGCAAAGAAAATTTAAGGTTTTTTACAAGGATAATATTATTGAATTTCCGAAATAAATACTCAAGAATTTTTTTAAATACATTTCATAAAGTATTTGTATTATATTAAAAGTTTATATTAATTTTTTAATATAAAAATATTTTATGTATTTTAATGTCATTCTCCTTAAAGAATTTCTCAAGGGACTTTAACAATAAAATGAATTATTATTCTCTTTAAAGATGTTGAGTTTGAGGAATTGTAATTACAAAATGTATATACATTTATTATCAATTAACTAAAAATATTTTTAATTTATTCTATCTTATAATCACTTCATATTAAAAATATATTTAATTTTTATATTTTTTAAATTTAATATTTTAGTTTGAGACGCTCAAATTATTGTTAGTTGATTTAGATGTTTTGATTTAAACACTATTTAAGTCTCTATGAAATTCGAATTCAAATAATGATACTAAAGTACTAGAACTAGCAACGTAGGAGTTGCGCTCTCAGTCTAAATTTAATTCAAACGTCGATCAAAAGAAAGTCAAATAGGCAGCCTCGTACGGCTCATTAGTTGGTTAGCGTGCTGCATCATCTTTTTTTTATCGTCTACAGTAACAATTGTTAATACCAAATAATTTGTTTTTAATAAATAAATAATGTTAGTGACCAAAATTTTAGTTTTAAAATATCAATTAAAAACAATTTACTTAAACGTGAGTGATAGTTTTTTTTTTTAATTGAAAAGAAACTAAGCAAGGCTTAAGTTACAGGCAAAAAGGAAGCTCATCCTCCATAAATGGAAAGGAGAGATTCCACAGCTTGAAGGGGAGTTTCATAAAGCACCTTTTGCGCCACAGAAGACGGGGCCATTTTTGCAAGCGAACCGGCTACAGTGTTTGCACCACGGGGGATCCATATTAAGCGAGTGCTCCAAGCTTGCCTACGCAAGGTGGTACTGGTAATAGCACGAACGAGGGATATCGAACTGTTTCCTGCCATGGGATCGTCAAGAAGGTTCACTACATGCTTGCAATCTGTTTGAATCTCTAGTCCCTCCACATCTAGACTGTCAGCAAGAAGAAGACCCTCATAAATACCCCAAAGTTTTTCCTGTAAGATTGAAGAGTGCCCAACGTTTTTGCTAAATCCATGCACATTCCTCATTCTGGATCACTCCAGCAGCCGCACCAATACCTGTCGAAGGGTGAACACTACCATCTGAGTTTAGACACAACCATCCTGACATGGGTTTTCTCTAAACTAGGCTAGTGATGGTCGGGCGAGTGGCGGAAGGAGAAGACAAGTTCCCAAGACCGTAAAGCTTCTCCCAATGATGTGCACAACGAAGAACATCAGGTTGAGCGAGAGAATAACCTGTAAAGAATTTGTCATTTCTCTGTTTCCAAATCTTCCAGGTGAGGGAGGCAAAAAGCATAGACCAAGAGACTTTACTCCTCAAGGCATTGGAATTATCCCTCAAGTTGGAAAGGATCCAGACCTTCAGGTCGTCATGGAAGAAAGGCGCATGCATGTGGTGGGGTAAGATTTGTATACAAAGATTACATGCTTGAGGAAAATCACGCAGGACATGGATAATGGTTTTGTGTGCAGCACCACAAGCAGAGCAAGAGGCATCATGGAAGAGAGAGCATCTGACCCATTCAGAGTTTGTCATAAGTTTTCTATGAAGCGATAACCAAAAGAATAGGCGTAGCCATTGAGGAATGGAGAGGCTCCAAATGAATTTCCAGTCGACATTGGTGGTAGCCCAGTTCCGATCACATAAGGTGGCGTATGCTGATTTGAGATTAAAAGGCATGGTCATGAGACCATCTCTATGTGATTCCATCATCAATGTCATTTGCAGAAGGAGCCTTCACGCAGAGTACATGGTCTAGAGCATAAGGTATCACCAAGGAGGATAAGGCCCCTTCATTCCATGCTCCATTCGGGAGCGCAAAAGCAGAAACACTCAAGCTATCATCAATCAAATTCGAAGTTATTGTATGAGGCCTCAACGCACCAATTTTGGGGACCCAAACATCGTCCCAGAATCTAACCGTAGAACCATTTTTGAGAGACCAGAATAGGCACGGTAAGAGATAATTCCAGACATTGGAGAGACCACGCCACATGGGGAACGAACTTGACGCGAGATCAAGAGAGGACACGGCTCAGTTATGTGACGTCCTAAAGTCGGATATGGTAATTAGGGTCGGTTTCGGGTCGATTTCTAGATTTCTGATAAAAGGGAAAAAATAAAATTCATATTTTGGTTTTAAAAACACTTTGGAAAGGTTTTAAGTTATTTTATATGATTAATTTTAACTATGGAAGTTTAATTAAATGATTTAGTGACTGAATTAAAAGAATTGAAAATTATAATTTCGGTGATAATTTTGTAAATTTTGACAATGTCCAAAGTCTATGAAGCAATTATACCAAGGCTTATGTTCAGAGTTTTTCCTTCTAAATTAAAATGTTTTAATTTTTCCTTTTTACCATTTTCCCATATAGTTTCATTTTAATCTAAATTACATTTGTTTTTATTTACGTGCTTTTCTTTTCCTTCTCATTTTATATTTTAGTAACTTCTCTTAACTTCCTCAATTTTCTCGCGTTTTCTCCCAAACAAGCTGATCAATTATTTCTCTTTTTCTTCTTGATTTCTAAATTCACTCATCTCAATCTTGATTTTAATTCTCAAGTTTCTCTTCTATTCTCTTCTTCTTTTTAAAGCTTGATCATAATGGAGTTCCATTGATGATTTCAATTTTAATCTATTTTCCATCAAGGTAAGGATCTTTTCCTTGGTTTTCTTTCAAGCTTCGAGGGTAAGTGACTAAGTGTTAATGATTTTATTGAATTGTTGATTTAATTGAAAGGATTTCTAAGATTTCAATTGATTTTTGGAGCTAATTAATGTGTTGATTTCTTGAATTGGTTTTGAGGTTTTCTTAATGAAATTGAGTTGTTTTTGGAGTGATTATAATAATATTAAATCAGTTTTTCGATTACAAATTATTTGAATATTGATTTCTTGAAAACAATGTCGATTTTTGGTATTTTTGGGAATCCAAGAATTTAGGTTTGTAGATGTTAATTTGTGCGGTTCTAGTTGAGTTAGATGTTGATTATAGTTTTTGTTTATCATATTTTAGTTTGGAGATTCATTCGTTTCGGTTTGGAGCTTCTGGAGTGACTTTTCGATAAGGTTTCTAAGGTTTTCGACGTTTGTGCTCTGTTTTAGAAATAGAGGGATTCTACTTTGTTTTAGATTAGATTTTGATGTGTTAATTTTCTTTACAAGGTTCTTATTGTGTTGTTAGTTGAGGAAACTTGGTGCTTTGAGTTTGGTGAACGTTGAGGCAGTGTTTGGAAGCGTTTTCGGTTTCCGAACAGCAAGGTGAGTGGCTCTCATTCTTAGAAAATGAATATAATTCAAGGTTGAGGTTTATGTAGTGTTACATTTGTAATTATGATATATTATGTTATTTGGTTAATTATGATGATGAAATATGAATTATGTTGATTTACATATGATGTCACTAATGTCGAAAATGAGAATGTAAATTATGAATGTGATGTGTTGCAAATGATGCATGGGATTTCAGAAACGGTTTTTGAAAATCTATATATATTTTGAATGTAAATTGGATGAGCTGAACTTTCTCACTGTTCAAACATGTGGGTTGTTCGTGACAACCATCCGCAAGTGTGTTTCAAAATGTGTTTGAATCAATATGTGAAAACTATACATCATAGACAACTGCTCTTGGTGAATTGGATAAATTGGTTATTGTTCTTAATAAGACCTTTGGATATGAAAGACATGCCTAGGAAAGAGTACATATGTGTTTTGTATTAGTGTGTGATCCAGGATTATACAAGGTTCGGATGGTAAGTTGAGCTTTGATCTGAGAAGATACGGGGTAAGGTTGGGTGTTAAGTTTGCTATGTAATTTGTGGTTTTGGACCTATATGAGTTTGTAAGAAAAATGGGAACTGTATGGAGTCCGTTTATCCAATGATTGAGTTTTGTTTCGAACAAAAGTAGTTGATCTTAAAATGGAAAAATGTGTGTGATTGTGTGATTTGCCAATGAAGGTAATTGTGTATGTGTGCTTGTGGCTGTTTTTGAACTATACGGTCATTGATGTTTGTTTAATATGGAAATCAAGTGATTTGGAAAAACATTAGCTTATCATTCAAGCATGAGATGTTGAATTATATGTGTAGAGTAAAGAACAAGTTGCGTATAAACATATAGGATTGATCTTTATCTTGGTTATGTGCATTGCTTTGAATATTAGTTGTTCACTGGGCTTTATAAGCTCACACTCGTTGTTAACATTTTTAGACGATTATAGTTGAGTTTGGAGGCGAGGAGCTATGCATCGGTGTGATCAAGCAAGGCTAAGACATAAAGTTATACGTATATGGGTTTTGGAAACTTTGTGTGGCAATTTGGGACTTAGATCTATTATTCACTTTGTTGGATTTATAATGCTGGATTTTGGTTTGTAATAAGTGGATTTATGTTTGGGATTTGATGTTTGTTTGATTTGTTGAATTTGGATTTATAAGTATGAACTTGTTGTTTAAAGCATGAGATTACTCAAATACTGTTTTAGTCCTTAAAGAAATGTTTGGAGTGTTTAGTTAAGTGTAACTTGGTAAACTAGACGTGTTAGACTCTAAGGTTGCATGAAATGACCTTAAATGCCAAAAATGAGTAGGTGACTTGTGCTTGAAATGAAC